TCTGGGCGAAATGGCAGCCCATGGTTTTGAGTTTGTGAGTTTTAAGATGCCATATGGGTTTCTTCAAATGTAATAGAAGAATCTGAGTTAACTTTATTGGAAATATCCATAGTTTTTCTGATAAGGATATATTGGACAATCAAATGATGATCCAAGTTTTCATTCTGCAGTATTGCTTTTGTTGGTTTTTTCACTTCTATCACATCAATCTGTGGTTATCTTGACCAATTATTTTCATAGCAGTGCATTTTATTCTTTGTTTGAGCAGAATACTTCTTATGATCTTGCTGTAGGGGAATACTTGGCCCTAACAGGTGAGAAGCTCAATGGGGTAGATATGCTTGCAGTTGGCCTTGCTACAAACTATTCGATGAGTGATGTTTGTTCCCTTACTCCATTTTTGGAAATTTCTCTCTGTTCTCATTTCAGTTTTCTTACTTTTGTCACCTCTTTATTGACTAATAGAGGCTTGATTGGGTTGATGAACGGCTTGCTAAGTTGATGACTGATGATCCTTCAGAAATTGATTCAACACTTGCACAATATGGTGATATTGTCTATCCAGATAAGAATAGCATTGTTCATAGGTATTCTCATGCTTTTAATCTCTTCAAAGTCATAATATTTAGATGATACAAGCTCCAGTAGTGATATATACGTTGTGTTCCTCACTCAAAACATCTATCAGAAAGCAACATTAATGATGTTGCTGATTACAAGCTTCTTGCATATCTGAAGTACATGATACATTTCACTGCTGCTATAACATAGTTTGTCATGCAAAATGTATCCACACAAAGAAGAGATGTATAATGTATAAACCATTTTATTTTGCCATAGTTTTTGCAAAAGAATGTTATGTTGTTTTGCTGATTGTGATGATTGCTGTACTAGTCATTCTTTTTTATACGACATAGTAATATCTACTGTGATGTTTTTTCTTTTTTGCCTATTTTATATATAAATGACTGAAAATGTACAAGTAGCTGCATCTTTTATGAAGAGTATTTTGGTTCCTTGTTCAGGCTGGAGGCCATAGATAAATGTTTTGGCCATGAAACTGTTGAGGAAATCTTGGATGCTTTGGTGAGCCCCCTTGGTCCATTGATCTCTACAACTCTTGTCAGATTAATTTGTACATGTATTACTGTGGCTGCACATATGACACCATGGTTTCATTTATTAGTGAGAACTGGAGGGAAAAGTAAAGGTCTTAGGTCACAATTTTGTTTCACTAGCAAGATTGCTAAATCACTATTTGCTTTTATGAGGATGCATTCTTGTCCTTCATTTTTTTTAAGTTCCAAAGTATAATCTTTATTTTTATCATGAAGTCATTGCTAGAATCTTTTTGATCATAATTTGTGGCATTGTTATGGTTTTTATTTCTTTAACAGCTTTGACATGAAATATAGTTCTTTTTCGTTTTTGTTTGGATCACTTTGTACATTTGAGTGACAACATGAGGCCTTACTCCAGGTTGCAGTTTCAAACAATTAATAATTCAGACAGCATTTTTTCCCTCTATTTCACCATAAATTGTAAAAAAAGAAAAAAAAGGGTCAGGATTAAGACATCCACAACCTGTGAGTCATTTGAGCAAAGAGTAGGCAACGATTCTTTTTTTGTTAATTTTTACCAGGGTGAACCCTTTTCTTGGGATTAAGAATAGTCAGCTACAAGCATCAAGTTTTTCCAACTTAACCATCAGAGTTAGAAGATAAACTAAATCTCTACTATTTTTGTCTATTAGTTATTCATGCATTTCAACCATGCTGAAATGAGAATGAGGTGGACCTAAAAAAAAAAAGAGAATGCAACAGTCTTCTTGCAGCCCACTGTAGAAAGAACACATATTTTTGGTCTTATTCAATAATGCGTTCATTTACATGTTCTTTATCACACACAGGAAACTGAGGCAGCCAGATCAAAGCAAGATTGGTGTATTTCTGCATTAAAGAAACTAAAAGAAGCTTCTCCATTGAGTTTAAAGGTTTCCCTGCGATCTGTAAGTTGTTAGAACCCTCTTGCTGAATACCATGCTCTTGGTAATTATCCGCTGATGTTTCCTCAGAAAACTTAAATAGATCCGAGAAGGAAGATGTCAGACATTCGATGAATGTCTTGTTCGCGAGTATCGAATGTCGCTTCATGGGATCTCAAAATTGGTTTCCAATGACTTCTGCGAGGTACTTGAACCATTGATCAACTAGAAAGGTTTTAGTTTGTTCCGTAAATTTCCTAACCTCTTTCTCCTGGTTCTACAGGGTGTTCGAGCACGATTAGTCGATAAAGACTTGGCTCCTAAGGTAATCTATAGCAACAATTTAAAATGGTTCAAAATTTTCATTATTTTATGAAGTGTTTTCATTCATGAACCATGCAGTGGGATCCTCCAGTTCTGGAAAAAGTATCAGAAGACATGGTCGATCATTATTTCTCACCTCTTGGTGAATTCGAGCCTGATCTAAAGCTACCTACGCACTTGCGTGAAGCTTTTATCTGATTCTGGATTTGTCCAGAATGCTTCAGCTTTCACAAAGCCAGTCAACCAGGGAGGCAGATGGTTGTATAATTCTGTTATAGCAAGCAAGGTTTAACTCTTTTTTGTTAGGAAATAGAAAATAGAGTATCCGCAATTTCATATCCAAATCGAAACAGTCCTCGAAACAAATCCATCCTGGATGTGGCAGTACATGCAAAGCTTGCTGCTGTTCTCTTCTCCTTTGGATTGAAACTATGATTGGGCATATTAAAGAACTCTGAATACCAGATTGGATTTTTATTCTTCATTCATTCTTCTTCATTCATTTGATCGGGAATACTCTAAACTACTATATTGTGCATAGGAAGAAATGGTAACAGCTTTTGATTATTATGAATGCGCACGAGCATTTGAGATACTTGATGAATAAACGTGAAATTTTACACATGAAATCAAGATTGGGATTGGGGTTCAGTAACAACAACAAATAAACAACAATAAAGTCTTTTCCATCTCTTTGAGATTGATTATATAAATCTTTTACTTTTTACAGTCATTGAGGTCTGTAAAAATCATGAGATTGAGATTGAGATTGGGGTTCGGTAAATTCCAAAATATTCAAGCTAGAGAAAGAAAGCCTGGTGTCCAAAGAATTATGGAGTAACAGTCATCAGATAGAAAAATTGAGAAAGTTGATCTTAAAGAAAGTAATTACTGTTGGACTAACTACATCAAAAATATGATTATACTCATTTGATATGCTCTTTCTTCCTGCTGATAGAAGGCAAAGTGAAACAGTATAGTAGCAGACTTGCTTTATGCTAGGGTTAAGCACCTCTCTCTCTCTCTCTCTCTCTCTCTCTCTCTCTCTCTCTCATGACTCATTTCCAACTTCCAACCTACATCTTTTCTTTTTTATGGTGTTTGCTAAGGAATGGACACATGTAGGGATTTTGTATCATTCATATCACTACTGACAAAGCATTGTTGACAGAATCAACAGGACAAAAGCTGGAGTGACAGAAGAGTTCGATTCCAAATATTAAATTTAGATTGCAAATGATGAATGCCAGCCCATATCACATGGGTTTTAGCTATATTTTCAGACATCCTCTTTATCTTTCTTGGGACTAAAAGGAGTCCGATTCTGATATGATAATATCTGCATGTACAGTAGCAAATCTACACAGAAATTTGTGGCAACTTGAAGCACTCAACCTCCATGAGGAAAAGACAGTTGAGCAACCTGCCACAAATAAATGGGCAATAATTTGATTCAGGAGTAAATGGTTGGTTGATATCATACCAAGTGGGTTGGTGGGACCTAATGCTCACCCATTTAATGACACAAACATAACTGAGTTGGAAAATTAATAGGTTTCAGTAAGCAGAGAGGAGGGCTGGGAACTTTCTCAGCCCTCCCCACTCAACATTCATCTGAAACAAAAAAAGATAGTTTAGGGATTGTTGCAGTCTTGTTCATGACATCCATCAAAGAGCATGCACTTGAACACATTTTTAAGGATTCAGTGATGGCCATATCTACCATTCAGAGTTTCTCTAGATCAGATATCGATTCAAGAAAAAAACTTAGTTAGCTTTATAATCCAGTGATATTTCATCTCTAATCATAACTCATTCCATAATTTTCTACATCAATCGATTCAGACCTCTACTTGGTTTCACTAGTATAGTCCTTTTGAAACATCCAAAATAACCATCCCTTAATGCCAGTCTCCTAAATCAAGAGAATCTGGTTGCCTTGCTGAAACAGAGATCACAAGAACTGTAAAGAGCTGTTTTGACAGTGATCTGATTTCGCCAGAAAAGCTATAAATGAGTCAGAAAGGCTGGTCGAGGACAAACCTTTGATCAAAGATGACATAAGCATCACAGTAGCTTAATGGAGTTTGGTCCCTGAATTCTAAACGGAGTCAGTCATGAATGAAGGAAGTCAGAAATACCAACTTGTCTCCTGGCAGCAGAGTGAAAGCATAGTAATGGAGTTTCTCCTCGATGATGGACATTGATTTAGTGACATCTCTGGTCAGTGATGAAACCAAGGAGACTCTTTTTGGTCAACTGTCTCCAACACCACATTCTCTTGTAGGCTGTAGCTGATGCATCAATAGTTCTATTTCTGGTTAGAGCAGCACATACCAAATGTTTTAATCTGTCCAAGATTGATGACTCTCTTTCTTGTTTGCATGTAGCACCCATGTTTGATCAATCTAACCTACCTCGAGAAGATCCTGGGATGATAAGCTCGCATGTCCTTTATCTGCTAACCCACTGTAGAGAAGTGAAGGTTTCTTTCACATGATTCCATGGTTGCCAAAATTCCACAATCTTCATCTCGCATGGCAATGGCGATGGCAATAGTTACCGAACAATCTGCTTGCCATTGAGTGAATCCAAGCAGGGACCATGCCATGAATGCAGTGGGCATGAGCTAAAAATAGATGTGTATCTATTCACTTGACATATATTATATACTTCTACTATCATCCAATCTATCTCACATAAATATAGAATTGACCACATGATACATATTGAGAAGATCCAACAAAATCTCAAGTTACCGATATGCTGCACTATACTCGACAAATCTCATCAGAGCAGTGGACCTCAGATCCTTCACCTTCGCGGATTCTTGCTCCCCTTAGCAAGTCGAGAACACTGGTCCTACCATTTGCCCAAGTAGATCTAACATCACAAGATGCAGGTTTCTTGTAACACAGACAATATGCCTCAGTCACACTCAAGCACACCAAGAACAGACAAAAATTCTATACCTGTGCCAAAAAGAGGGATTTTTACACGATCAGACCGTCTCCCCACAGTCATTGGCATCGCCGGGTCGGTAAGCCGAGTTGGAGGATGACCACCAGAAAAGAAGACATCTTTGAAGACGAAAGGGAGAAAGCCATTGTTGAGGGTTGAGTTTAGAGCTTGTAGATGATAAGGAAGCAGGGGAGGACCGCTCTGGGATCGAATACTACGAGCTCCCCGTTGCCCAGGCTCACCGAGTCGGCGTCCGACTCGGTGTGGTCCGACTCGCCCCTGACGCGGCCCGCGATGACCCGGCACACCAACATCCCCTTCCGACCGTCCCCGCCGTCGCCACTCGCGTGCGCGCCGCCGCTCCCCGCGAAGGTTCGGACCCCCTTCGCCTTCCCCCCGGCCGACGACCGCACCACGTCACGCGCCACCCCGGCGTCGTACACGCCGCCGGCGCCGCGCCCGAGGTGGAACCTCAACACCTCGTTCCCGTCCGCGGCGCAGCGGGCGCCATCGACGGCCCGACCGCGGACCGCCGCGCGGTGCTCCTCGAACCGGGCTAGCGTCCAGGCCGGGTTGTCGACCCGGAAGAGCATCTCGATCTCGCCCGGGAACGCGCCCCCGGCGGAAGCGGACCAGCTCGAGCTGAAGATGATCTCCACCACCCGCCGCGAGGAGTGGCCCTTCGGCAGCTCCTCCATCGTCGGGAACGGGTCCGCGTGGACGGGCCGCACGAGCCCGTGCGCCGGCGTCGACGGAGACGCTCTTGCGGGCCTCTGCTTGCGATTGTGGTTCTGCGTCGTCTCGGGCAGTGGCTTCTTGTTCAGCGCATAGGAGGAGGAGGAGGAGCGGGGTTGCTTGGGGAAGAGGAAGACGACGTCCTTAACAGCGTGAGAGGAGTTGCTGCAAGAGACGGTGGAGAGCAGCGGCTTCTTGGACGACGGCGTCGGCGGATAGACGACGTCTTCCACGGCGTTAGACTTGCAATGCAGGGACTTGACCCATCCCGTCGCCATTACACGGCGACGATGACGGTGCTGACGGCCAAACTTGTGCAGCAAAACAATGACAGAGAGAGATAGATAGAGAGAGAGAGAGAGAGAGAGAGAGGCGGTGTTAAGTGGTGGTAGGAAGAGGTGCTGCTGGCCCTGTTTGAGTAATATGTACTACTACTTGGGTGGTGGGTTCGATTCAAGGTGGAGTATGATTTCCTGTGCTCTATATGATGCCTGAGAAGGGTGTTAATTGTCGTCGAGTGCACGATTACCCCTCCATTGCTCATTTGCCATTGCACCTGGGTTTGGATTAACCCACATTTAATACCCTTTTAATTGATGGCCTTATTTTGTACTATGTTTCTTGTTAGGTGAGAGATTGACCTTCCTTTCCTAATGCTATCACAATCACCTGACTCCAGGTTATGATATCACCTTCTCTTATTCAAGTGAGGTCAGTCCATTTTTTGAAGACTTGAATAAGCGTACTGTTTCCACATGTCATTCATTTCAAACCTCTCAACACCTATGGCCACAAAGACACTATTCAATTGGGGTTACAGGAGAAAGAGACGAGCAGATTAGTCCACTGTTCCACCAAGCCAGAGAGGACTAAATGAATTCTCACGCAGTACTGGCCATTACTACCATGTCAGTGTTAAGGAGAAAAATCCAACCTCAGAAAATGTATTGTCTCTCACTACTTGTCAAACCTCGACTGCCATTGTTCCATAATCTTTGATTCAGCATTTAAATGTATAAAGATTCTGCTACTGCAGATGAGTATCTGAATCTAACCCCAGGCAAAAGTTTGATCTTCACTTGAAACATGTGATATACTTGTTAATCCTTAAACTAAATTGCAGTAGTTGAATATAATCTGTAACATCCCCATCATTCATATTGCTATAATACAATAGTCTGCACAAGCAAACACACAAAATCAAAATGATCATATCATGTCTGCAGTGAGAGTAAACCATCTCAATGTGAGGTGGACTAAATCAAGGTCATAGAGTTCCTTTTGGAGTCATTTCCTTTTGTTTTCTATTGAGCTCAAATAGGCAAACTGTTTCAGTATTGCCCTCCGCTGAGCTGTGCCAACTTTCTGGAGACAGGAAGAATGACAGTCTTCCATGTGAGTTGTCGGTAGAGACTGGATTTTTATATCAACTAGACTTCTGTCACAGGCTTATTGCCGTGGAGAAATTAATGGAGACACAATATTAATATGCATTGATGAGAAAGACACTGAAGAAGGAAGAGGAGTTGAAGTTAGCCACCCAAGTCTGCAACACAGTCTCACTGCAAGATGATCCAGTGATGGAGTTCAAGGCGAATCAGAAGCCAAGCTGTTTTCTGATGGAGATTAGGAATTCAAAGAGGAGATGAGGAAGAAGATGATAGTTTGAGTGACCATCAATACATGGACACAACCTAACTACTATAACTATCTCCTAAAACTCCCTACTAAATTCCATATATCTTCAAGATATCAGGCATATCAAGAGTGACTACATCAACTTTGCGAACATACAACACCTTGTTGATGACATGTTTCTGTCCTATTCATGATCACTTCACAAACTGATGGCATGTGCAGTCAATGGTGCTTCACTGCCCCCCTTCAGTTGTTGTACTGAAAGTGACATCTAAAGGAGTGCAATCATGCAGCAACCCCCATAGGAAAGAAGGCTTTCAACAGGTACTAAGCCTTGATGCTAATTTTGGTCTACTGTTCATTCTTTGTTTAGCAACCAAGTAAAGCAGCTAGATGCATGTCTACTAAAAGATGGATCAAATACCACAATGGATTTAGTATCTTCAACACGAACAACACTCAAATCCAGATCATGGGTAGATCGAGTTCGCATCCTTAGGCCTAAAACCTACGCCACAAATTGGGCACTTTCCATGACAGCAGCCAGTGGTCCTTTTAACGAACACATGGTAGACGCAATCACGACCCAGTCCACAAGAAGTGAAAATGTTTGGACAACGGCGGCATGGTCAATCAGTGGGGAAGAAGGGAAACTATTAGATGCAACAGTCACGACCAAAATCCACCCGGGAAACATCTGATCTGGTATTTCTAGGTTGAGAAAAGGGCTGCAACATAGGCAACACGGACAAGGTATCGATCCGAGTACGAGATCGATCAGTGAACTACTGCATCGATGAGGAAGAATGAAAACAAGACTCGATCCTGAATGTTAAATTTCCCTTCCCATGCCCTGCAATGAACATCTAATTCCAACCTTGGAAATGGCAGTACCAAATCACACAAGAAATTGTATTCGCATTACCCGACAGAGAGAAATACAAAGGAAAGAAAAGCAAGGCCCGGAGCGGAAAGACCATACCTTGTTGGCCTCGTAGCAAAGGGGGCACCGGAGCAGAAATGGCGCCTCTTCCTCTTCGCTTCCCCATAATTGAGAGTTAAAGCTTCATCTTCCTTTTATCGTCAAACATTCCTGATGTGAGCGAAGTCACAGTCTTTCTACCTCATTCCGACCAACAGAAAAGATCTTTCCATATCTTAATCAAAAGCATATATATATATATACACACACACACGAATAATATATATATATATATATATAGAGTTAAATTCAAATTTAAATTTATTTTAAAAATAAATTTAATTAGAACTCCTTCCAATAGTTAGAATCTAATAAGACTCCTTGGAATCTCCTAAGATACTAAAGAACCCTAACACGAACAAGAGTGTATATTCGGGAGTTGATACTCATAATCTCAAGAGTACATATGATTAAAAGCAATACAACAGTAAGATTAGCAAGCAATACAAGAGTAAAGCAGCAATTAAGGATCAAAGCACTGTCACACTTGTTAGATCGAAACCACAGCTCAAGGATCAAGGTCTAGCTAGGAACGGAACCAGCTGAAACCAAGGCTGTTAGGATCATAAGACCTCTCCGGCGGCGGCGGCTGGTCGTTCGCAGCCAGCGTCTTGGCGAACCGGCCTTTCACCCTCGGCCTCATTTCCGCGTACGCCTTCCTCGACTCGTACCGCACTTGCTTCTCGTACCGCCGCTTCTTCCGCTTCTCCTTGTACCTCATGATCTTGGCTTCTCTCTCCCTGCTGGCGTCGCTGCCTCGGCCGCCGTCCGTGGGATGTCCCACCTCTTGGTTGCTCCCACTCGAAGCGTCCGTGAATGTGGTGCCCGAGAAGGACATCTACGAAGAAGTTTTGGGAGTCATTAAGACAACAGATTCATGAGAGAAAAGTTTGGCTTGCTCAAAATGCCTGCTTACGGAAGGCACATGAAATAATAATTGTATCAGTGGATGTTTCCAATCGGATAATGATGATGGATTCGCTGATGCTGGAAGATGACCATTAGGTTCATTAGTGTAGAAATCGACAAGAAAGAACTTGGTATCAGGAAAGATTAGAATTGGTGCAATGAATCTGATCTCCTTTCTAGTTCTACAGCATATTCCTTGGCTGCGGTACGTGATAGATTTCTTTTTGTTTGTGGATAATTTGATTGAGATTGGGCACATAATTTTCCTACCTTATAAATTTCAAGGTCACATGAAATAGGAAATCTTCTAAAGAGGAGAAGAAGGGGAAATAAAAGGTGGAAGAATAATAGGCCGTGGTTATGCCGCCACCGATGACCGCAGAAACCACAAAACTGCTATGAGAGATCGAACAGAGCTGGACACTCACGATGGTGGCGCTCGACGCTGGCTGTCTCATGGCCAGACCTGCCGCGGTCGAGACCTGGATCGAGTCCGGCGGCCGAGTCGCACTCAAGCAGACATCAAAAGTCAACCCATCTCCGAACTCATCGCTGGTTTCTCTCAAGCTACAAAGAGGCTGGTACCCAGAGGGCACCGGCGGCCTTTCCTCCTCCGGCGGCGGCCCGTCGTAGTTCAGATCGTTGAACATCCACGCCACCGCGCTGTCGTGCCCGAAGAACTGGAACTCGCGCAGCTCGCCGGGGCCTCGAATTACCGGGTCGTCGAACGTCGGCGCCGCGCGGTTGAGGTCGGTGCAGCGGGGGCACGGGCCGCCGGCGCCGCGGCAGACGTCGCACGGGTTGGACGAGGACATGACCTCGATCATGTGGTTGAGGGCGGCAGCCGGATAGGGAGAGGGAAGGGCTGCCGAGGTGTGGTGGGAGTTAAATGGGGGTGTGTGTGGGCGGCAATGAGGAGCGAGGAAGAGATATAGCCGATCACTACTTTTCTTACGTGGAGGAATCATCGCCATTGGCGTGCGTACATGCAAGACCAAAAATGTTTGGTGATGAACGCTTGGGGCTTTGGAGTGTTAGGGAATTCTGTGGCGACGGAATTCTGGTTCCCCAGAAAGACAGCGACCGGCCGGTGGCATCCCCACCCAATCCGAGACCCAGCAGGTGGTGGGCTCTCAGCATCGAAGAGGAAGACGTGGGCTCTCATGTCTCCACAGGTGCCAAGCCTACACTCGGAGACATGGCTTGTCTGATCCTGAGGTGCCTGCCATGGGGTTTGGTGTTGGAGTAGGAGAGGCGATCGTGTGGGTGGGCGGACGACGTGGTGCTCAGATGACCAGAGGTTGGAGTTTCTTCGATGACTCCATGGTATCTTCTCAGAAATGAAAGCTAATACCATCTTGTCATGGAGTGAGTGTAGAAAGCAGCACAGTTAGGACTGCTAATGACAGACAGTGAAAGATGCACACGTCTGCCGACTTATAACTACAGTGATAATGTTGAGTCGATGAGGAGTGTGGGGTGGAAGAACATGTGGTGGTGATTCAAGAAAACGACTTGAGATCTGAAACGCTGTTGGTTTACATAATAATTCACTCCATTCCTTAGGAAAACAGATATAATATTCCTCTTTTTGTTGTTTTTGTTTATGACTGGAGAAAGAGAAACCATTATCCATTAGCTTGCACTCAAAAGTGGAGTCATCCACCTATCCATCCATCCACAAAGGATTCCTCCCCTTTAAGGAGGCTGATGATAAAGGGGAAGAACGGAGACAGCTTCCAATATGAGCAGCAAAGTTATTCCGAAATAAAGTGGAAGAGGAGGAGGAGGACGAAGAGAATTAAAGGGTGGAGAGAGGGTGAGAGAATCCAAGCCACCGGCCGTCACTGTGAGTCCCTTTTCTCCGTCATCAGATCTCCTCTTATCTTCCCCTCCGCCACACCTTTTCCTCGCCCTGCAATCTTTTGCTCCGCTTTGGTTTCATCAACCAAGATGGTCGTATCTTTTGCATGGCCCTGGATGCCTCCGGCCATATCCGGCTCTCCCCACCACCAAGAAGTCATGGCCAACGTATCTTCTGCGTCAGGTAGCCCGGAAAGCGGTATAAAGCTAGCTGAAACCCTGCTGCTTATTGCGCCAAGGATTACGTGCATGGCTTTGGTGATGTGAGGTGGAGTGCTGCGTGCGTTTTGAGCTTTGGCGAGGGGAGGAGATTCGGGTGGAGACAGGTTAACACACGCACCGACATGAAGTGGTGTACGTGTAGCCTTTGGGCATCCGATGACAAGGTTGTTTGTCTCCGGCAACACATGATTACTACCGGAGCCTGGAGGAGCATTTGCATCCATGGCCACAAGTGGCAGAACACCGGGAGACAACGGCTGCGGGAACCTTCATCTTCCAGCTACTTTCACCTGATAACATGTCGTGAGACATCACCTCAGCTGTCATCAGCCAGCTGGTGTGATCTCCTCCTCTCCCTCCATTTAGGTTTGTCTGATGAGCACTCCTATCTTCTTACAGGTGGACTTTGAGATGAGCCATTAAACTATAATTTACTACATAATGCTACAGGTATCTTTGGAGCTAAACTACCCTTCTTATATTTTAGTAAATATATTATAAATTATAAATATAGATTTTACAAATGATAGTATGATAAATGAATGATTGAAAGTGGTCCGTCATAATTAAAAGTCCTCATAAATATTCATATAATATTACCATGAAATAAGACAACAAGTCAACACTAAACACCATCCCAAAGCTCATTCACTAATGTGCAATCTAGACTAGCTCTTACGTATTATGTTAGTTGACACTCTACGTCGAATTAGAAAACTCTTAAAATGATTTCATAGATGACTTTTTTTGGATAGTTTTACCTCTGCATAATGATTACACATAATCTATATTTACAGAGCTAAGACAACTATAAAAATAAATTAAAATGAGACTACCAAGCCTACTAAAAGCCCTCTATATGTTGTGCAATGTATGAATAAAATTGAAAGATATAGACATACATAAATATTATATCAAACAACTTTTGTACAGATTTGTTTGTGATATCCCCCCATCTCCCACTTATTTCTTCGACATCCTCATCAAAGCCTTTGCAAATGTTATATTTTTTTTATTTTTATTGAATCTTCAATTTTTAGCTTCAATTACAATATGCCTCTTTGCTCTCAATTGTTCTCTGTCACTATTGTTGAGTAGTCAAACTTGCTTCAACTCACTAATGATTGACCCTGGTGTGGGGTCGATCGAGTTATATTAATCTTTGTTATTTTTATAGATCTCATGAAGAAAAAGACCTTGTGTGCAAGTCTCTTCTCGTTTGAACTATGTGGATGCTTGTTGGAACTTTAATGAGCATTGCCTCATAGACTTTGAAGTTTAGAAGTATTTCTTCTATAAAATTTGTCCATCAATTTCTCTTCTACTTGTCACCTCCAAATATATTTATATAACTTTTGTTTTCGATTAACATTCTATTAGGAAATGAAGTAGACAATCTACTCTTAGTAGAATCGATCATAATTTGTGAGGATTTGACAACTATTATCTTCTAATAAGTTTCTTTGATGGGTTTTTAAACATATACAAAGCTCCTCTTTTAGGTAAATAAGAGGACTATGATGTTCGGTTTCACTCGTTCTTTCAAGAGTTAAAAAGATAAAGTTTACTTGATTTCACCCATGTATTAGGCTAGTTAGTAGCCTTCTCTTACTCTTTACTCATAATTTTGAAGCACCTGAAGTATTTACACTCCTTGCATTGAGTTAACTAATGCAATTCGCCTCTTCATTACCATTAAACTTATAGACAGCAAGAAGTTTTACCTAAAAAGAGTATATTTTTGCCCCGACTTGGAGTAAGTATTTGATAGTTTTGATCACCTCTGGGATTGTATCGCCTTGTCCATCATTCCTACTCCTTTAAGTAGAAAAGGGATAGTACCATGTACTACCTACTTCATTTCTTGGGCAAGCACTCTTATATTAATATGAAGTCCTCCACTTTTGATTATCTTGATGATAAGCTCATTGACACCAATCTCATGAAGTTCCTTGGTCTCTATCCTTCGATCTTATCTTAGTATTTAGAGTTTATCTCTGTATTCTCTATCTCCTTGGCCCCTTTCATTATCATACACTCTCCCTCCATAAAGAGCAAGGGATTAATGATTCCACGGAAGTTTTATCTCTGTGGTACCATAGAGCTGTCATGCCCATGACGATACTATCCATCATCTTATATCTACGTCCCCTTCTTGGCAATTAGTAGATCTGTTTCTATGGCACTGTGACACTCCCTCAAGTTTACATTCATCTTAACGAACACTTGGTTTTATGTAGCTAAGTCTTTGGGGACTCATCGTCGCTTTCTTGCCCATTTCGACCACCTACTTCAATATCTCTATGTTCTCCAAGTAGTTCATCTTAATCGATGAAAAGACAAACTACAACTCTCATGAATAGCCTTCACCATCACATTAAAAGGCTTGCATCGATTTTGTTCTACTTTGTGTCCTCAGTAGTTAACATTCACTCACTTGGTATTGTTATCTGCTTTGTAAACGAATATGAGCTCTAGAGCAGTCTAACTCTCCAACCTCTCTAATCATACTTTTATATGATTAAGTCTCCTCCAATGAGACTCACTAGTACTTGCACTCAAAATTTTTCTTAATGGTACATAACCCCTATATACTAAAGATTAAGGCTTTCATCTGTTGTAAACTTCAATGCATGGCATTTGCTCTTTAAATCCATAGCCCTTTTTATTGTCGTATTGTTCATCGAAGTGGAGCTCTCAGTAACTCCTGATCATACCTTCACATGATCAAGATCTTTGTGGGACTTCTCCCATATGTGCCACATTGTCTTGAACTATTCCACTATAATCTGTTATATCACGTCACCTCATGAAAACTTCTGTATTGCATTCTAATCTTTGTGAGATGAATTCAGATTAAGAAATCTCCAAGTGTGGCCTCTACTAGTATATTGCAAGGCCTTTGCCACTTTTAATTGTGTTTTCTCCTTTTGTAATTGATATTTGTCTACCAACTCTTGAGTCACACATGGATAAAGCATAGCTCTTAGATAGTCTATCACTTAGCAGGTCTTGAAGTCCATCGACTTTGATAAAATTTGTGCACCATTATCTGGATCATAGACCATTTGCCCCTAGCATAATCTTTAATATGCATAACTTTATTTGTGGTAACTCAAATGACAACACTACAACATATTCTTCAAAAGCATCTATCTCTAGATCCAGTTATATTATGTCAAGGTCGTTTGACCCTAACTTTGCCTTCGCAAGTTAAGTCATCTTAGTCTCTTTGTTAATTGCTTCATCGAGATACGGTATATGTGCCTCAAAGCTCCCTTCAACTTGGCATCGTGAAAAATAAGTTTGCTCCATCAGAGTAAGAGGCCTATGGAATGGCCTAATCTCGCTCTTGTCTCTACAAGAGTTTATGTCCTTAACTTTTATCGAAGGAAAGCTTCGCGTCTTCGATTCATGTTCCGTCTTCTATGTCGACTCCCTTCATGCGACTTAGATATTTCACCAAGTTTTACCCAAGTTACTCCTTTCTTCGATTTGCATTGAGTGATAGTGGCTCTCGTACCCACCATTTCAGTGATTAGCCATCTATTGAGTCTAATTTTCATATCGACTCTAAGCGTGTCTTCATTTTATATTACTTATGGTCGCTCTTCCACTTATCTCGTAATATATCTACTAACGTATTACATCATGTGAGATCATATAATGACTCATCGCCACTCGCTTAGTCCATTGAGATTTATGATGTTGTCTTGAGGTATGCCCCTCAACATGTGCGATCCGTTGCATATGATCCTCGCTCTAACAAATCAGAACTTATCCCTCGATATTTGTCACATTGGAGTAATTTTTCTTTTCGCATCCTTTCCTTTAGAAGTTTCAG